TGACATCCGAACTGGCAGGAGTTCAGAAGTAATCATGCCCGATCTGACAAAAGCCTGGAAGTGAGTGCGCGAGGTGGTTATAAAAGGCTCCTACCCCCCAGAAACGAGGTATGCTAACTTTCGCGCTATCTAGTCTATCTTGCCTTTGAAAGACTCTAACTTGAGCTTCGGAGCCCTCACGCCAGGTTCTCCCCGGAGCATCTCTTCTCCCTCCGTTTCAGGTCCCTGCCACCCGGTTTAGAGGCAAGATCATTGACAGCAAAGACCGGCCGGATTGCACACCATCAATACTGATTCCTGAAAATTGCCACACAAACAACAAGAGTTCTCAGGCTGCATGCCCCTGACCACTAGGTTGTCGATGGTTAGGATTTTATCCAAGGCTGTTGACCAAAGGAAGAAAATAACCTTGGTGGGGACCTGTCAAATCCAAGCCCATGGAGCGGGCTGAGATGGTTGGCCTGTGAGAGCTTTGTAGTCAGACTTGCACGAGAAACATCCTAAGTTGGCCTTGCTATCTATCATCAGCTTCTGGATGAATACCAAAAAAAGCAGAGTTTAGGGCTGAGAGACGAAAATCTAGAGATAAGCATTGGATCCATCGGGGAGACTGAGGATAAAGAATGAATTGGAAACAACAACAAAGAATGAAGAAAATCGAAACAGAATCTAAGAACACATCAACCTAAAATGCAAGTGTTAGATAATGAAAAATGACCAAAAGGGTTAGAGAATTACCTTGTTGAAGTAATATAACTACCGATGTTGGTACAGAGCTTCCCCAATCGGTGGAAACAAGTTTTCCCTTCTCTCAATCGATTGACTTACATCTCCATGGAGAACTCCCAAACGAGTAATGGTAGTACGAAGCTTTCCTAAGTCGTACAATTTTGGTATGCCATCAATTTCTCGGTCAAGTGATTCTTGTGCTCTCAGTCGAACAACGCTGGTACGGGTGGAACAGTGGAATAATCGATCTCTTCTTGTGTTCTCCCTTCTTCTTGCCGTCAATTTCACTGATTATCAATGGAGTTCTTTGTAAAAACTTCCTCTACCAAAATCTTTTGGCTGCCTCTTGACTTGACGAACACAAGCAAGAGCAGAATGCGAACGCGGGATTTTTTCGGCTTTTTGAAAAATTTTGCACTTACCCCCCCCCGCTCTCTCTCTCTCTCTCTTTATCGATTAATTACTGTTAGACAGGCTTAAGTCCGGTTCAAGAATAAAAATTGCCATTTCTGTTCCCAAAAACCGCCGCTCGAGTTGTACTTTTGTTGTAAGCGGCGGTTTCATGGGAAACGTCAGCTTAGTTTTCACTATAGCGGCGGTCTTAAATCTTTAAACCGCCGGCTTTGATCTTTTTTTTTTCGTAATTGGCTAAACAAGGGACTACCGGACAACAAATTTTTTGGGCGAAACAATTTAAGGACCTTGGCCTAGTCCCATGAACCTCTGGGGTTGGACCACTTTGTATCTGGCTGACCCAAACTGCAGCCTTACTCGAATCTGACCAATGATATACGTTGCAGCTCAACTTTAAAAAACGCACAACATGAAATGCTGTAAGAACCCAGCTAGCGTGTGCTTCAAGGAAATGCTTATACGGAATGCTGTTATTGTGTGAGACAATATTGAACACGTTGGGTTGGGCTTATCAGTGCCTATCCAAGACTAATCAACCCAACTTCAAAGCCCAAAACTGAGCATGTAATTTTCAGCCCAAGACAAGTCCTGTTGAATTCGATTTGCATGCATGGGCCAGCTCAGGTTCGGCTTGAAATCAATAATATACAATAGTACAATTGTCAGCATCAGTTTGGGTAAAGTTTACCGCGCGAGGCCTTACTTGAAGCTTCTCTAGTTTGAAAATTTTTAGGTCCAACCCCAACCAACAACGTAAGGCTCAGACTGGTCCAACCAAGTTAAATTGCAACCCCAGGCCGACTTGGTAAACCAACTTACCAAGGCAGAGCCTGATCCATCCAATAGGATAATTGCAAAATTTGAGTCGAATCAGATGGTCTAATAAAGGTTCAAAGTATTCTGTTGAACCAGATGGTCCATTCAAGGTTCAAAGTATAAGTTCCTTGATAAAAGTTGGCAAACCAACTTACCAAGGCAGAGCTGCGTAGGATAACCATCATAAAATTCGGGTCGATCCAGATGGTCCAATTAAGGTTCAAAGTATGAAATACTCTTGACACACAAAATTCGTGTATCAACAGTTTATATAAAACGAAACTCCTTTCTTTTAAAACCAAATACTTTGACAGGAGTTATGTCAATTAACATTTAAAATAATGAAAATCACCCCATGTTTTCTATTCATAGAATTGATGACCCCGAAAGCCTATATGTATCGTGATACGCTATGATACTTTTAAGTTTGAACGTTGGGTCCAATCGATCAATCCAAGATTTTTTTTTCTTCCTTTTGTTTTTATTGAAAGATCAACACAAGAAAAGAATATGATTTCTCTTAGGCTGAGTATGAAAGGAGTATAAATGCAAATATATAGAGTATAAAACCTTATATTTTATATTATATTATATGTATTTATGCTGTACATATTTACATTTATACTCTTTCCAAACTGATCCTTAGTGCCATTCATAGTTTGACCTAAAATAGGCCCACAACCTGTCAAACAAGTTCGGCCCAGGAAATTCTTTGTCCAAGATTGAGACCTGAAAAGTCTACAGATAGGACGGCGGGTTTGTGCAAAAATTGAAAAGAAACAAAGATTTTTAATTCCACTTTATTATTTCCTCGTAGCTAATTGAACAAACATTTTTTACATCTTTAGTTTTCGACTTTCCGGTAAGCTTAACATTAAATTTAAACATTCAGTCATCAATTCTAAGAAACTAGGGTTTAATTTCCATTTGCTTTGTGGTCACAACTGAAATCGGATTTGGAATTGGAATCAGAACCTTTCATAATCAAAATAGGAATAGTTTATTCCCATAGTTTGTTTGGTTCAGATAGGAAACGGAATGAGAATTGGAATAAGTTGAAATGAGATTTTATTCCTAAGGAAGAAGAGGGGAATGACAGTTCTCTCAAATGAGAGAATGTTATTTCACCGGGAATGTAAATGGAAATCCAATTCTGCTCAACCAAATAGTTAGAATTCGAATGTCCTACAAACCAAACGGGTCCAATCTCACCACAAAAATGACAGTTCTCTCAAATGAGAGAATGCCATTTTCACCGGGAATGTAAATGGAAATCCAATTCTGCTCAACCAAATAGTTAGAATTCGAATGTCTTACAAACCAAATGGGTCCAATCTCACCACAAAAGCATGAAAAACTAATTTCATACCACCTCATTTTAATTTTTTCTCAATAGAAAGAATGAAGCATTTAAACAAAGAGAAAGAGGAAAGGGAGACGATGTCAGCAAAGTAATTGCATTAGCTTCTTCCTGCCCTCGCCATTCTGGCATAGGCTTTTGTGGGTACTATTAAGGGTTTGAGGAAAAAGCAGATCATACTTTGGAAACACTTGCATAAACCACATTCAAAGAACTGTATGCATCGATAAAGTTATCCTCCCACCCATTTGGTAGGGTTTCTCAATGAGAGAGTTAAGCAGGTTTGAGTCCCACCAGTCATCCAAGTTGGTGCGAACTGGTGGGGTTAGGCTGGGGTCCAGCACCTATCTCCATGTTTGGTGTTTGGTGTAGCTTGGGCAGGGTATATAGGGTTGAGAATTTGTTAAAATTTGAAAGGTTTCAGTCTGACGATCTCGGCCCAACACTATCAATTCTTCAAATGCAGTACCTGACTTACATTTCCAATTGGTGCTCAACCATCAATAGGAACCAAAACTGGAAAAAAAAAAAAAAAGAAGGATTAAGAGCAAGAAGGAAACCCCCTCAAATAATGGTGAACCCACAGACATGAGTTCATTTCTTGAAACCCCCTCAAATAATGGTGAACCATTGGCCCTAAATTCTAGCAGGAAAAGACCAGTTGATCATGTGTATTAATTAATGGTTTTGATAACTGTTAATAAAATCTAAAGTTAGGAATAAATTTTGGAATTAAAAAGAAGGGTAAAATATAAAAATCTCGGTTTTTGACAATTATAAAAACTTCCCCTGAAGTTTCATTTTAACAAAAACCTCTTTTATAATTTTGAAAAATCCTACAATTACTTCCATCATTGTCTCAGTTCATTATCAACCTAACATTTTAATTAATTAGGTTTCCCTAACCCCTTGTTACTTCTGAAAGTTGTAGACTTGTACAGCTTTCGAAAGCTACCTGTGCCCCATTTCTTCTTCTTCTTCATTTTTTTCGAAAGCTACCTGTGCCTCATTTCTTACTCTTAACAAACTTCATATAGCTTTCATTAATTTATACCAAAAAATTTTTCTTCGCATTCAATTCAATCCTACAGCAGGATTGGTCTCAACCCTTATTAGTTGTGTGTTTGGCAGTGCCAAAGTGTTGTCAACTTCGGGGAGTGTTTACAATCTGATAATTTAATTTAGGGTAAAATACAAAAACCTTCCCTTAAGTTTTTAACAATTATAAAAACCTCCCCTATAGTTTCATTTTAATAAATACCTCCCCTAAACTTTTGAGAAACTCAACAAAAACCTCCCTTCCGTCACTGCTGTCCCAGGCGGAAAACATTAGATTGATGCACCAGTTTTCCAAATACCCATTATACCCTTTTATAAATTATTTTACATACAAAATTACTGAAATTATCCCATTTTAACTCAACAAGAAAAACATATTCCAGTAATTTTGTATGTAAAATTACCGAAATGATTGTTAAAAGAGGTTTTTGTTGAGTTAAAATGGGTTATTTCAGTAATTTTGTTTGTAAAATAATTTATAAAAGGGTAGAACGGGTATTTTGAAAAAACTGATGCATCAATCTAACATTTTCCGTTTGGAACAGTAACGGAAGGGATGTTTTTGTTGAGTTTCTCAAAAAATCAGGGGAAATATTTGTTAAAATGAAACTATAGGATAGGTTTTTATGTTTGTCAAAAACTTCAGGGGAGGTTTTTGTATTTTACCCTTTAATTTATTTATTGTGATTTTTATCATGGGTCTTTACTCACAACGAATTTGCACCACAAAATGTATAAACACATTCCTACTTGATTTCACATTGTGAAAACTGGATAGAGAATATTCCTTGTTTTCAAAATAAAATAAAAAACAGATAACAAGTTACCATCTAAAAGCATGGGAGATGGTATGAACATAGGATGGGTTTGGGTAGGGCTGTTCATAAGAAGGCCCAACCCGACCAACCTGGACCGACCCAACCCGAGTCGATCGGGTTTTCATCAGCACCGGGCGGTTTCGGGTTGTACAAATTCATAAACCGATGGTTCGGGTCGGTTTCAGTTTTCTTGTGTGAAAACCAAAACCGACCCGACCCGAACCGACTTAATTCCTACTTAACTAAAAACTGAAATATCTGAAAATATATATTCCAATATCTATATCTAAAAAATATATATTATGAAATATGTCAGATATATATTTTCAGAAAATATATATTCCAATATATTTGTATGTATATTTTTGTTTATATATATATATATATATATATATTTCTAAAATACATATTTCAGTTTTAAATATATTTCCAGAAAACTAGGTGGCCATGGGGGGCATGGATGAACTTAGAGCCGAAACCGACCGAAACCGACCCAACCCGACTCAACCCGACCAGGTCGAATTCGGTTTCCATCTCAAGTAACCCGACCAGGTCGGGTCGGTTGGAAAAAACTCAGTAAACCGACCCAATCCGACCCATGAATAGCCCTAGGTTTGGGGAGGGTTTAGTAAATTCTAGTCTCTATTTGCCTATCTAGACTTCACAAATCGTATCCTTCCCAAAACATGTAGTGGGTTGGATTTTTATAATCTAAACCTTCCCCACACATGAAAATGCAAAACCCTTCCCAACCCTATCTCTTTAGTATTTAAGGGCGAAATGAGTTGAATTGGTGAATCGAATTTAAAATCACATCTAATTTTTTATTATTTCTTGTTATACACAAGTGATAGACAAACAAAATATCATGAACAAACATTAAAATTTTCAATTATCAATTATATATCCTTCCAACAATGTACAGATCGGTAGAATAAAAATTGCCGTTCCTACTCATTCTTTGAAGTTAATTAAACTATATCATAAGATTGGAAAACAAGTATTCATGGTTTTCATAATGTGAAAATAGAAAAAGAAAACTCACTAATTACTGGAGACCTATTTTTCTCGAGAAAATCACCTCAGAAAACGACCACATTTGTTAACACCACCACAGGCTCAGGCAGTGGTTGGAAATAAATGCTCCTTGCCATTTCACCCACTCTCAGTACATATGAAAATTGGTTTTTAATTAACTACTTTGCATCTGTCACGATATTGGATATATTTCGATTTTCCCATCTATCTGGTAATGCTGCATTAATTACTATCATCATTATTATTATTATTATTATCACTAAAATAGTCCAACTGGTTCACTAATCACCATATCATCCTATTTCGTCTACGTGAACAGATGAAATATGATACTCATGTTTCCACGTCGATTCTACATCACATTGTGGAGCCTTTCTATTTATTAATTATGATCATCATCATCGTACGTACTACGCAGTAGTATAATTGTAATAATAGTTTGTGGGTGGGTAACTGGGTACTATGTCTATGTGGGTGAGTAACCAAGAAGCAGCCTAAATTAATTAAGTCTCCCTGTTCCCCTACTGCTAATTAGCTGATTAACTTTGTTTTTAAGTAATTAATATGCGTTGTAGTTTATGAAACTAATTAATTTTCACTTGTAGAGAGGGAATAAAGAAGTTTGAATTAGATATATACCAACATTATTCTGTATATATAAAGCAAAAGAGTGCAAATACATATACACAGCAGAATGCATAAGATCCATGACTATATTCAATGCAGCTGCTGTGTTACTGTTGCTTCAAACCTCACCAAACAATTAAGTGGCTTAGAAAGAAAAACCTTAGCAAACACTATAAATTAATAAGCAAACTCTGAATGCATAACCCGATCTTAGATGATAATAATTCATCACGCATTAGATATCACCTTTATTAATTGCTGATGCTATTCATCAAGAAAGGTGGTGCAGACTGTGAGAGCCATATAATCCTCCATCCCGAAGAAGATTATTAGGATGGTTAGATTGCAGATGGAAAGCAAATAAGTGGGAGCCCACATTTGCCAAACCAAGAGCAGATTTATAGCCTGCGCCATTGTGATCAACTAGCCCACAGTTTGGATTCTCATCTCGCTCTTCAATTTGACATAGTAGATTTGCATGTTCTGCTTGCAAGTTCCTTATCTTTTTCTTGTAAGTCTCAGTTTGGGTTGAGATCACACGGTACTTTCGCTCACGAATAACCTTCAACGAGTTCTCCAAATTTTGCTCAAGGCTTCTCAATTCTTCGAAGCTCATATCGTCCAGATGTTCACCCGCCATCCTCTGCCTAATCTCTCTTCGGAGATTATTATTAATCTCCTTTTGCTTGTTTAAATGCTCCTGCATTGTCTCATAATGCGACTTCCATAGATTTATCCCTGATATCTGCTGATATCGATCAAATATCTTCTTCGTCGTTGTGGTATGGCTTATGTACTCAGAAAACTTTCCAGTACTGGAGAACATGATGAGAGAAACATCGGCATCACAAAGAATGGTGAGCTCTCGAGCTTTCTTCATGATACCTCCTCGTCGCTTTGAATAGGTGACTTGTCGGTTCGTCGAATTCTCTATTCTCTTAATCTCGATCTTCCCTCGACCCATCTTTTGATTTGTTCTTCTTCTTCTCCTTCTCCTCTTCTCCACCACCACAACCATCTTTTATAGATGAATTAGCTAGCTAGGATTTCTTTTCTTGATATTCCAAATTCACTTAATAAGTACGTACAACATACATAACTGAGAATAAATTATATTTTCCAAATTAAGATCCTTATACGTACCAAATGGTGTATGGACAAATTTCACATATTGTTTGGGCTAAGGCTCTACCACCTCCAGACCCACCCCAATGCAACACATAATGGGTGTTGTCGTGTTGAGTGTAGGGGGAGTTCTACGGAGAAAAAAGCTTCTGAATATGGTGGGAGGAGGAGAGCGACTCTTTTCCCAGAAGCTCCCCCTTACATGATTATACATTTCGTGTTTTCTTGTCCTTCAACTACAAGTTAACATACTATTCATCATAATTGCCCTTATAAATACAAATATGTAGAGTATAAAATCTTATTTGCATTAATTCTTTCCCAACTGTACCATAAGCCCGTACAAATACAAATATAAATATGTACGGTGCAAATATATATAAGGCTTTATGCTCTACAAATTACAAATTTGTACTCTTTCTAAACTGAGCCTTAGATTGCATTTGGTTGCAATGCAAATAAATTTGTACTGATGCAAATGATTTGAATGTAAATTCTGACTTATTTTTGTTTCACAGTTTAGCTTATTTTGTTTGATTGAAGTACAAATGAAGTAATTAAATTAAGACATGAAGTAAAATCCAAAACAAAATTAAAATAGAATTTGCATTTTTTACATTTGCACTCCCATGCATTTGTATTAGTGCAAATAAATTTGCACTGCAACCAAACACAGCCTTAAGAGCAAATTAAATACCAAAGGCCAAATGAAAGTTTACGACTTTACATAGAAGAATATTTTTACTTCATACTTTTTTTATTTGTCATTTGGGCTCAGTTTGGATGGAGTGCAAATCCTTGTAATTTGTATTATTTTATATGCATTTGTACAGTACATATTTGTATTTGTACTCCTTCCAAACTAAGCCTTATAAAATACTAGGGCTGCAATTGGACCGGATTTGGTAAAGGGTATATTCGATCTTATTTGATAAAAATCCGATTGATCCGAATCTAATAAGAATCCATTGGATTTACAAAGTATGATTTGAATTTGAATATCTTATTGGATATTTGATTTGAATAGAATTGTAATAAAAAATGTTGATATAATATAAATAACATTATTTATATAATATAATAATATATTATAATATATAATATGCAATATATAATTGTTAGTGTTCGGCCTACCTGTTAGACTAATAACAGTCAAGGAAGAGAGAGAGAAGAGAGAAGGAGAAGAGAAGAAGAGAAACAAGGAGAAAAGATTCTGCTTTGAATGAGAGAAAAAGCACACTCTCCCATTCGGCCAGATGTATTTTATACTATTAAAATAATCTAAAAAAAGTCACATATGCCCCTACTTAAGTTAGGGACATTAAATCTAACATAAACTTACACATCAGCACCTAAATACAACCACAAAGACAGAAATACCCCTACATACTCGACACTAACCCTTTAGTAAACAAATCTGCCCACTCTCCCCCGACTCAACCCTTTAGTAAACAAATCTGCCCACTAGTTCCCTGTGTTGACATATGTAGTGTCTATCACTCCACTCACCACATTCTCTCTAACAAAGTGACAGTCAACCTCTATGTGTTTGTTTCTCTCATGAAATACCGGATTAGAGGAAATGTGAACTGCAGCCTGATTGTCACAGTAGAGCTTCATTGAAGTATCAACAATGTATCCCATCTCCTGTAGAAAGTTCCTTAGCCACACTAATTCACAAGTAGTATGTTTCATAACTCTATATTCTGCCTATGCACTGCTTCTTGCCACAACTGTCTGCTTCTTGCTTTTCCATGTCACCAGATTACCCCCAAGAAAAGTGCAATAGCCTGTGGTAGATCTCCTATCAGATACAAAACCGGCCCAATCAGCATCAGTATATCCTTCTATTTCATGTTTTCCACCACTTCTGTATATCAAACCATGACCAGGAGCCCCCTTTAAATACCTCACAATCCTTATAACCGCATCCCAATGTGGAACCAGAGGTTTCTGCATGAACTGATTTACCACACTAACTGCGAATGAAATGTCTGGCCGAGTGATGGTTAGGTAGTTCAGTTTACCTACCAGTCACTGGTATCTGCCAGGGTTTTCAAACACTTCACCCATATCACTGCTCAGCTTGGTGTTTGCTTTCATAGGAGTTTCAACTGGTTTAGCACCTAACAAACCTGTTTCTTCAAGCAAATCAAGAACATATTTCCTATGACACAAGTTAATACCATGCTTGGATTTTTCTACTTCTATCCCCAAGAAATACTTCAATTTACCAAGGTCCTTTGTCTAAAAATGTTCCTGCAGAAAGATCTTCAGCCTGTCAATGCCCATTTTATCATTCCCGGTAATGACAATATCATCTACATACACCACTAATAGGATCTTCCCTGCCTGAGAGTCATGACTGAAGATGGAATGGTCAACTTGGCACTATTTCATACCAAACTTCTTTACTACCTCACTAAATCTGCCAAACCATGCTCAAGGAGACTGTTTAAGCCCATAAATGGCCTTTAGTAGTTGGCACACTTTACCATCATCCCCCTAAGCAACAAACCCTGGTGGTTGCTCCATATAGACCTCCTCAAACAGATCACCATGCAAGAAGGCATTCTTGATATCAAGTTGATAAAGGGGCCAATCATACATCGCAGCAAGAGAAATCACAACATGGACTGAACCAATCTTAGCAACTGGGGAGAAAGTATCTATGTAATCAATACCATAGGTTTGGGAATACACTTTGGCAACCAATCTAGCTTTCAACCGTTTTACACTACCATCAGGTAAGTACTTAACCGTATAAACCCACTTATAGCTAACAACCTGCTTACTAGGAGGAAGAGTGGTGAGTTCCCATGTATGATTATAAGCCAGAGCTGAGAGTTCTTCCATCATACAACACCATCCTAGAGAGGCAAGGGCTTCCTGAACATCCTTAAGTATAACAACAGAGAATAACAAAAAGATAAACTGGCGATGGGAAGTGGAAATGTGAGTCAGTGAAACATAATTAGAAATAGGATGAAGGGTACAACTGTGCTTACCTTTCCGCAAGGCAATGGGAAGATCAAGATCAGATACTGGGGTCGGGGCTGGTGTGGTAACAGCTGCCAGATCTGTTGATGATGATGAGGCTGGAGGAGGAGCTGGTACACATGGGCAATGTGTATACATGTGATGGATCGGTGGTCGTTTAACAGGTGGTGGCACTGGAGGCAAAGACTTGGTCACTGCGAGAACAAGGGGAATAGAGTCCACAACTAAAAAGAGGAAGGGGAGGAGGTGATGAGGAGGAAGAAACATCATCGGACCCCAAGAAGAATGGAGTAGACTCAAAGAAAGTAACATCAGCACATACAAAGGAACGTCGAGAGCTAGGGTGATAACACTTATACCCTTTCTGAGTCCGGGAATAGTCAAGGAAGATGGACTTAATAGACCGTGCATCTAACTTGTCCATTCATGGCCCCAGATTATGAACAAAACAAACACATCCAAAAACTCGAGGAGAGAGAGGAAATGGAGACAAGGTATGAAACAATATAGTGAATGGGGAATGATCATCAAGGACAGACGTGGGCATCCAGTTAACCAAGAAGCAGGAAGTAAGCACTACATCACTCCAAAAGGATTTTGGAACATTCATGTGATGCATGAGGGACCGAGATGTTTCCAAGATGTGACGATTCTTTCTCTCAGCCACCCCGTTTTGTTGTGGAGTGTAGGTACATGAAGTCTGTTGGATAATGCCATGTTGGTCTAGGTAGTCTTGAAATGATGAAGAGAGATATTCATGGTCATTATAAGAAAAGACATATAATTATAAATATAACATATAATTATATAAATACCCCTACATACTCAACACTAATAAATATAACATATAATTATATAAATAATATATAATGTATATAGAAAAGACATATAATATTTCATGACCAATTGATCGGGTTGGATTGTGGTAGATGGGATCGAGGTATATCCAAATTCGATTCGTTAACTAAACAGATCAGCCTTTTTTATCTGTTCAGATTTGTTGGGATCAGGGGAGATATCCAAATCCAACTCTTACTGGATTGAATTTAGATTCGAACTGGATCTGATCCAACTTATTCACTGCCCTATAGAATATCTCAAGGCCCTATAAAACACCAATGAGAGGAATATTCTAATTGAGAAAAATATCTCAAGGCCCTATAAAATACCAACATTGAGAAGGATATTCCAATTCTAAGAAAATTACAAAAACAAAAGGAATCTTAAAAGAATCTAGATCAGTGCCAACACAAATTTGGAGTTATATATTCAAAGCTTTGTTTTAATCAATGATTGTCGACAATCTTCTCACCTTAATTGGATTGTTAAGGACGATGCCAAGGCAAATGATAGTTGTAGGCTCTTAAGGGAAGATAAGTTGGGCATACCTTAGATTCGATTGAAATATTCTAGGTTGGGTTTAGGAGGAAATTAATGGTGTGGATTTGTATTTATGGGCTTGGGGAAAGGCAAGCTAAGTCCTCCCCTGTATTGTTGAATTCTAAAATTTAAGATGACTGCTCTTCCACCTAGAGTAAAATTTGGGGTTAAAAATGTCTTTCATATCTATAAACGAAAAGAGGAAGGCACTATCTACATCATACATTATATACACTATGTGCCTTGAATTATGTTTACCCTTTGGGTGTGTTCTTTTTTCAGATTTTAAAAGGGGGGAAAGTTGGTCAATGGGATTTTGGTTCCCATTGACCGAGAATCCCATGTTCTTTTTTCAGATTTATGTGGAGACCAGGGAAATTTATTTAGGTGGGTAAATAACTTTTCCATCTAGGGGGAAAGTTGTCAACACTTGAATGGGGCAAAAATGCCCTTTTTAAT